ATTTGCTGGACACCGGCAATCGATAAATTGTGGTTTTCACGCGCCGCAACGCGGGCATGCGGATTAGGCTTGGCTGGGGCAAGGCTCTGGTTGTGATCCCCCAAGAGAACTCCCTTTTTTGTCTGAGCGATCTGGAAGTAGTCCGTCCACCTATTTGTTATGATGATTGTTGTACCGTTTGGCATGTATTGTAATTATATATATATATATATATATATATATATATATGCAGTTCAGTTTTTACAGCAATTAACCATGCAACTTTGTGCGGCGGTTTTCCTTTCCCTCTTTAGGCTGCCCATTTGGGTAAAAGAACAGCAGGAAGATTGGAATGTTGAGAGCAGAGTCAAAGAGAAAATAGAAATTCATGCACACTAGGATTGCAAGAATTATGAGTAAATGCACGAGCGCCACCGTTGGCAACACTCGTCCGTGTCACTCCATTTCTCTAATCACCGGTTAACATAATTACGGGTTACCCATCCAGGGAGCCTGACGGGATTATTCTACGACAGTCAGTGTTCGACAATGAAGTGCATACCAAAAACCACTTGTCTTATCCCATTCAATGGTTCCGAAATTTGCTTGACGCTTATTCTGTTTTGCTTAGAAATTTGTGTTCTTATAAAAAACGATTACTCCTGCGGAGTAAGATATGCTGTATTTTTATTTCAGTGCTATTCGATGATGGTAGCATGGACATGGGACACCAGATAGTTGGTTTATCGTTTCTGTGCCTCGGCAGTACTGCATAAGCCTTTCACGGCCTGTTGATATTAAATTACCCCAGTTATTTTTGCAAATTTCTTTCATGTTATGGAATCCATTTCATTTGTTCATAGCCGGAATCTGGAGATCATACCACATTTCCTACGGCCATGCTTTCTACTGGTCAGGACACTTATCCAACCTCCATCCTGAAGTCTACACTCACAGTCCCTCAGCCAACAATGACAAATACCTCATACGTTCCTATGACACCTCATATTCAAAGCGCAAACACGAACGGTTCTAACACAGAAGCAACCTTCTTCAAGGCTCTCACTTATGGCTCTGAGACTGCTCCTACGAATTCCACTCGCTATGGAGTAATATCTGATCGGACTGTCTCACGACCACCGGCTGAACTACAGGGTACGAGTGCTCTGCATCCGGTTTTCAAGACTAATACCGTCAAGATCGTTGATCCGCGTTCCGTTCGTCACCAGTCAGGAATGGATGGTGTTGATTTTGTTAGTGGTGCACAACCAACTCAGCCTTTGTCAATGAACCCATCAAATTTGGACGATCGGCTAAGAACTGGTTCCATTCAAACCCAGTATTCCCTGTATTCTGTAGTACCATCTGCATGTGATACTGCTCGTCATAGGTCCAGCCCAGCTGACCAAAATATCGATCCTTCTACTGCCGTTATATTACCTACTACTCAGAGCTCTTGGTCCGATGCCCCTGCATCTTCGCGCCCGCCCACATTAGATTCTCAGTTCTGGCCGCAGAATGCGCTGAAGGGTCAACAACCAGAAAGCTTCTTTCCTGCAGTCAATGCACCTGAATCAACGATGGTCCTGGGGAAGGAAGAGAGCAAAGGTAAGGCGAATGCGTATACTTATCTCACATTTGGTCTCTCTGATGGGTTTGATGTTGCATGTGTTTCATATATACTCCAACTTTGTTCGTATTGTTTGCCAAACAAATGACAATAAAACTCTTTGTAATAGCCAAATCCGTCTATAATTTTCCCGCGGGCGAAACACTGTTCGGTTGCCTACAACCAGGGTCTTCTGACGGCCAGACCGACAGGGCAGAGGAACCGTGTGTAGAAATCGCAGTCGATTGGAAGTCGGTGTCCAATCCGTGTAATCGTATGTTCTTTGAGCGCGCTTTACACGTCCAGTGTATCCAGTAAACCCTATCAGCCAATCAAGCCGAAGGCAATCGTAACTAGATATCCTGAAGTCAGTTCACACCCTTCTTCTTGAAGAGTTTGGACTCTGATTTCCAGCTCACCTTTAGAAGTTAGCAGTTCATAACCCATTGACGCACTCTTTGAGAGCATCTCTCAAGGGCCAAAACAAGGTATTTTGGAATTGATTCAATGTCTAACAAACCATGATACAAATGGAAGAAAAAAGGCTGAATGTCTATAAGTCAACAAGAAAAGCGTATTTGTGGAATCGAGGGGTCAGATTCAATAAAAAAATTTTTTTTTCCCAGCATCAATTTTGCAATTTTTGCAGAAATCTATTTTCATGATGTAGGGAGACCAAAATTTTGAACAGCTGCATTGAATCCGGTTTTAAGATACGGCGTTCAACTGAAATTCCCTCACTTCATGTAAACCCTTAATAAGAACCCCGCTGGTTTCTCACTTGCTTTTCTGATCGTCGTAAAAACTTGTCAGTGGCTCACATAGTTTTCTGATCGCATATCGTATTTTGACGCTGATTATTCGGTTTATATTATTTATATTCATTCTGAAGCCTTTACAAACTCAATCGGAGTTGGGTGTATAGAGATGAGTTTATGATCATATGTATTACAAAACTTGGTGCTGAAGTTAGGGCGGGTCTAAGTTGCCACATTAGTCTGCTCAACTGGTTCGTGATTCAGTCGTGCATAAGTGAACTGAAATCAGTCGAAGTGTTGCCATGGTATTTGAAAGACTTGTGATACGTTCTGGGGGAGATTGTATTGTGGTTCTTATGGTCGCTCATTTTCCAGGCAATCAACACTCATTGAACACAAAAATTCTACTTTTCTCTTCTAGGGGTGAATTTTCAAGTCAATTCAACACAACCAAACCCCTCATTGTCCTCTCGCGGACGTTCCAGTTCTGCCGGAAATCTATTTCCATTACCACAGCCACTGCACAACTATGTTGGAAAGCCGAGTTCGTCAACTACCATGTCCAGCTATGGCAGTACCGAGGTTCTCTCTCCTCCAGTGTCATCACAATCAAACTTTCTATGCACATCATCACCATCCTGCTCTCCCCCACCACCGGCCTTGATAGATCCAGAGTTGTCTTCACGTAGCACAACAACAGGCAATTCTTCAGAAGAAATAAGGCGACAGTCGATGCACGCTGCTCTTCAGACGCTGCGGAGACTCGTGCACATGCATTCGAATTTAGACGGACCTGCTGGCGGAAGTCGTTTAGCTGCCAGGAGATTAATGGATTTACACGATTACAGGTCATCTACCATCAGTAATCGTGCACTGGAGGATATGGATGATGAAATAGCACCTAATTGGACTCGTCCAAAAGGTGCTGGCACTATTGACGGTAGTGGCACGGATCCGTATAACGTAGGCATGAGCGAAAGTGGAGGTACATACAAAACCACCAAAGCGGCTACTTTACTCGGTGCGGCTGAACTAATTCGTGGGATGCGAGAACAACGGAATGCCCTGGATGCACAGCAAAATAGTTTGCGAAGCGAAAGGGAAACTCTAAAAAAAGCAATCAGGTGAGTGTCTGCTGAATCATAGCTTTTTGATAGAGTTTGAATTTAAGCTGCTTACTTGAGAATTAAGCCAGACTTTCTTTATACCATATTGCTGTTCGGGTTTACTAATCGCTCGTATGATGTCATTGACGACACTTGATAGATTTTACATGATCGAAGAAGTTATATAGTATTGATCAGAATAGCCGATGAAATACACGGTAAAGATTAAAATTAGTTAACAAATCTATGTCTGTTAACTAAACCCATTTATGTCAAAAACAGTTTTGAAATGATCGAAATAACCACCTACAGAATTCTGGAAAATTTCAGCATGATACAATAGATTGATTAAATTATTACAAAATTAAAACGTAATGTAAACATTACCAAGAATGATGGAACAGTAGTGACTCGAGAATTTAGGCTTGCAATGGGTTAGGAAAGCTCCGGAATTTGTTAAAGGTCACATGATCTTTTATGTAAGTTACAGTTCCTATTTCACTTTTTTTAGTTCAGGACAGTTCGACCAATCTCCTGCTGAAAAAAATCGATCACCAGGGATTCACGTCACTTGAAGAAAACACCCGTTTATAAAAATTAAATGCTCACAGTGCCGCAATCTCCTGATCAAAGAAACAACTTTGTAATTCAGCCTAACTGATGTGCATGTGTCTGACAAAATTATTCTGTTCCTCCAGGTTGGGGGTTTGACTCGAGTCGACGTCTCAGTCGGTAAAACTAATTAATGATTAGTTGATCCAAGCAGCTGGGAGTCCACTCCGCCTTACCCGCTTCCTAGCAGTCAGCTGCTTGTCAGAACTAAAGGCTTTGAACGAGAATCCTAATCGTTCTGTTTGGTGGTTGAACTACCTAGCAGTACGCGTCCACCAAACTACAAATAATTCCATACTGGATCGTTCGCTGCGCAGGATATAATCAGGACTGCGCTACCCATTGCATCGAGCGGGGTGGGTAATGGTAAGTGGAAGCCTTCTCAGTAGGTGGGTATGGGATAGGTATTGTATTCACTAATAGAGTGAAGACCTGTATTATCGATTGAACAGCCGTCAACAGTTGTTTGTGTGATGCGGCTCCAGGGGTCAATCAGCATCGGAGTGATGGTCAATACCAAATGTGTCCTTCATCTCCGAATATACCCCGACTGACTTCAGTTCTGATACAGAGAAGGATGATTTTTATGACAAACTGGCAAACCTCATTCAGCTGAGTCAAAGAACCGATACAGTTGTGCTTGAAGGTGATTTTAATTCGCAGGTTTTTTTTATTACACAAAGTGAATTACAGTAAACGGGGAAATCCCCATGTGCAAAATAGC